GGGACGTAGATAGTCTTAGATGCCATGGTTTACTAACAGACGGAGGGGCACGAGGAACTATGCAGCTTCGCCTCCATACTATCTGTGCCGACACCGCGAAATACAATCAAGCATCTCTATGACCATCGTGTTCCTCCAACTCTCGCCTCTTGCGTATATGCTCGCCGTAGATACCCCAGAAACAAGCGAAGATGCCCAATATGCTCGATGTGAGAGTGACATAGTACGCGGTGCGGTAACACGAGAGACCCAGCTCACATCCACGTTGACCATCTGGCTCAACTACCGAGTTGGAGTCATAGACCGCACCGTAAAAGAGATTGAAGACGTTTCCGCTGACGACAGGTGCCAGAGTCATGAAGCCCCAGTTGACGGCGAAGCCATCTGGACCAAACGCATCAACCACGAGCGCTGGGAAGACACCAAACAGAACGCCATACGCGAGTCCGGAGAGTCCGGACACAGCCCACAGGAAGTGGGGATCCTCAACACGAATGGCGGCGACTTGAGCCAAAGCAAAGATGGTGGCAGAGATGGCAGCACACCAAAAGCGTGAGTGATGTAGTCGCTTCACAATAAAATCGGAACCAATGCCCGAAGATAGACGTCCTAAGAAGGAACAGAGCGAGATTATGGACACATGCCATAGCTGACGGTCAGCGACAAAGGCGTTCTTGACGGAGTCGTCCCAGTGTTTCCAAAGGGCCTGAACGTCGTGACCAATATTGCTGCACCAGTCAGTGATGACCACGATGGAAATCTGGAGTATACATACTTGATTGTCATCAAACCAACTCCAGATAGGAGACCCATGAGTACCCATAGTTGCCAGAATTCCGGTTTGTTCAGAAGTGCCAAACCAGTGATATCTACACATGAGTGAGCCGACTTTTTGCTTGCTGCATCGTCGTCATTGTCAATGATGTCGCCAGGGCCAGACGAGAGAAGTGACGAGGTCTCGGTTGAGGGACGGTCCTGTTCTTCTTCGGCTGCTAGAAGTGGTTGGCAGGTGACAAGGGGAAGACAGGGGTGGAAAGAAAGCAGCGCTTACTAATTTCTTGCTGTGGAAGAGCAGATGATTTGTACTTGGAGCCGTTGGATCTCGTCTTGTGGAGGACATTGGAGTTGCGTCGCGTACGTTCGCTGGTGGGTAGCACAGCATAGCCGGTGCCAGCTTTGTGGTCGACGACAATGAGGAAGGGTATCGATACCAGAACGAGTAGGGAGGTGGCGAGAGAAAGCATCATAAGCAACCCAGAGGTATTACCTGGGAATGCTATGCCGGCGATGAGAGTGTAGAAGAAGGCGCTCAACCCGAAAGCAGCCAATGGGCAAGCAGTAGCCGATCCGCGATGAGTAGGCCAGTTGAGTGTCGCTGTGATTGTTAGCATAGACCCAACATGAGGTGATGAGGGTATTACCCGTCTTCAAGGCAGCCTGGAAGGCAGCACAGCTGCCCACACCGCTGAAAAAGGAACACAAGGATATCAGGCCAACGCTCATGTAGCCTGGACCTCCATCATATGCTGGCGACAGTTAGACAACAATCTGGCGAGCAGGTACTAGGTATTCTACCGAGCTTGATCGGATAGTAGCCAACAAAGAGCGCGAACATGCCGATAATCGCAGCAAGTCGCGGGCTCTTTCTATCCGTTATGATGCCCATGGGTATGCCAGAAGCATACATGCCCAGGTTGGCGGCCGTTCCCTATCATTGTAAGACGACATTCGTGTTCAGGAGGTACGTAGGATGGCATACGACGACATTACTCTGGGTCGCAGAGAGTTGGAGCTTATCGGCGAACTGCGGTGCCCATGCTGAGTAGGCATACTGGGGTCTGTTAGCATCCCACTCCAGATGTATGACGGAGACGTACATTTGTACCACAAGCAAGCGCGATTGCGGTGGCAGCAACGACGGATATAATGCGCGTCTTCTTGTGGGTGGGAGGCTGCTCTTCGGCGACCATGTTGGTCAGTGTGAATGAGGTGCTATTGCAGTGCGCTGATCATCGAGTGCGGGAGATATCGAGTTGCGCAATCGCGGACTGGAACTGATATCGGCACTTGCTAAGCCGAGGAACTAATAGCGCAGGTAAAGATATGCAAAAGAAGCAAGCAAAGAATGAAGGACGCGAAAGGAGTCTATAGTGCGAAGCAAACAAGAAGTCAGGCGAACCCCAAGACACCACACCGATGTTTGTCGAGTGAATGGAGAGTCGAAGTGAAGCATGGCCGTTGCAGCTGATCGGAGATAAGATGGCCAAGGCGTGACTTGGCGGCAGGAGCCGCGACACAAGCGCATGCGCAGGAACGTCACCGGCCTCATCCTCGTGCCTCCAGCTTCTCCACAACACAACCCCGGCGACTCACGGCATCTCAACCATGGGTGCATTACTATCCGTCCCCTTCCTGGCTATGCCCGCCATGGGCACCGTACGTTGACACGCTCCGTCGCGACCGCGCGCTGCTAACATGGCCAGGTTTGGAGCGTTGCCGCCTCCTGCTGTGGCGCCGCGACATGCAGCGCCGTCATGGGCTCTTGCGGAGGGAAATGCGGTAACAGGTAGGATCACAAGTTCTGGGAGATATGTTCAGAGGTACTGACTGCGCGCAGCATCGCCACTCGTATCGCATACGCGCTCATCCTGCTCATCAACTCGATTGTCTCATGGATCATGCTCACCGACTGGGCCATGAAGAAGCTTGCCCACCTCACTCTGGATTACGTCGACATCAAGTGCCACGGCGAACAATGCTACGGATATGTTGCAGTGCAGCGCATCAACTTCGCGCTCGGTTTCTTCCACGTCCTCATGGCGCTTATGCTCATCGGAGTACGGTCTTCCAAGGACGGCCGCGCGACCATACAGAACGGCTTCTGGGCTCCCAAGATCATGGGCTGGATCGGCATGATTGTTCTGACTTTCTTCATCCCGAACTCGTTCTTCATCGTCTGGGGTAACTACTTCGCCATGGTTGGCGCGTGTCTGTTCCTTCTCATCGGACTCATTCTGCTCGTGGATCTGGCGCACAACTGGGCCGAGTACTGCCAGGAGAAGATCGAAACCACCGAGTCGCGCGTCTGGACAGGCATGCTCGTGGGTAGTGCCATGTCCATGTACCTAGCGTCAATCGCCATGACCATTGTCATGTATATCTTCTTTGCAAAGAGTGGATGCGGCATGAACCAGGCAGCCATTACCGTAAGTTGACTTCTGGGCGTATGCCGAAACTAGCTAACTTAGACAGATCAACTTGATTCTGCTCCTCATTTCATCCGTCGCCTCGATCCACCCCGCAGTACAGGACGTAAACCCCCGAGCTGGTCTCGCCCAATCCGCCATCGTAGCCGTCTACTGCACCTACCTCACCTTGTCTGCCGTAGGCATGGAGCCCGACGACCATCAATGCAACCCCCTCATTCGCGCCCGTGGAACTCGTAAGGCGACCATCATCATCGGCGCGATTGTTACATTCGTCACAGTTGCCTACACCACCACCCGCGCAGCAACATACGGCCTCGCTCTGGGCGCCCAAGGCAACCCTCACGGAAACGGCTACGCCCAGGTTGGCACCGAAGACTACGAACATGGTCTCGTCACACAACAGCCCGAGTCCCGTCGCGACATGCGCCAGGCTGCCCTGCGCGCCGCTGTAGAGTCTGGATCCCTCCCCGCTTCTGCCCTCGACGACTCCGACAGCGAGGACGAGGACGACGAGCCCTCCAGCAAGAAGAACCCGCGCGATGACGAGCGCAACGCAACACAGTACAACTACACCCTCTTCCACATCATCTTCTTCCTCAGCACAACATGGGTTGCCACTCTCCTCACTACAAACTTTGACGAGAAGGATGTATCCGGTAGCTTCGTTCCTGTCGGCCGGACGTACTGGGCCAGTTGGGCAAAGATTATCAGCGCATGGGTGTGCTACGGCATTTACACATGGACATTGGTTGCTCCTCTCGTGCTGCCAGATCGATTTGACTACTGATAGCACAGTAGACAATTAGATCACGGCATACTTTAGTTTGTCTTTGCACAACATGTGTTAGGATTGTATTATCATCTAGTACTATGTATGGTTTCGCGTCCGCCCACGTGTCGCGAGTTTAGTACGAACAGCATCCCACGTTTTGACCTTAATGAAGTATTTTGTTTGTTTCCTCGATCCATGTTATCCTCCTCAAATGGCCATGTGGTGATGTCTGGGAATCTTGGGAGCGTAGCCGCCAATCCATGTCTCCCCATTGTCCACATGATTGGGGTGTGGGCATCTTCCCTCATTGATCTTCTACAAAGTGCAGGTGTGAGCAATTCCCATGTTCGGCATATCATGCTCATATTTGGCCGGACTGTGTGTTCTGACGCGCCCGCCTTGTTCATGCGCTATTGTCGATTGTCCCGCTCAGCTCCGCGTGGCTGCATGCATAGCCCGTAGCTGTGACTGAAATCGTATATGCACTGTAAAAGACGCTCATAGTCGGCGCTTGTGTGGGAGTCCCTGGTAGGACAAATGAGAATTCGATAGACCACATTCTCCAAAAAGAATGCGAGTCTTCCCACCTCAGCCAGTATCAACAGGTACCTTGGGTTTGTTCTTCGATCCAGGGGGTCTTCCCAGTCGTGGACGGCAGGTAGGTATCTGCTGCCTGAGCTTTTTATGACGGTGAGGGTCCTTCGGTGGCTTCGGTGGCTTCTCTATCACCACAGGCTCATCGCCCGCTCTACGCTTAGTCTTCGATCCTGGGGGCCTTCCCATGGTATGACCTTCGGTAGACTTCTTTATGGTGCCTGAGATTTGGCCTCCGCGTGGACGAGGCGCTTTTTCGGACCACATTTTTATGGGCCGACCGATTTTGGGCGCAACGGCTGAAGTGGCCTTCTTCTTGTCCTTTGCAGAATCCTTGGAACGCCCTTGGGGTGGCTCTTCCACTTCAATGACAGGGGCGGGTACATGCACAATGTTGGCTGGGATCTGGCGCATGAGCTTGAGTGTTTCCTGGTCGAGGTTGTCCCTGTCTGGAAAGATGGGCGATCCCATCCAGGTCAATTGTATGTCTTTCATCGTTCCCGAAGTTTTGAACTTGTCCTGACTCTTCTTTGATACCCTCGCGTCCTCTTCTAATCCCTCCTCAGGATCTTCCAGTAAAGCCCGCGGGGTATGCCTCACCGTGACACTTACTCCTTGCAGCCCTCTCTCAGTTGCCGCCCGGTTCCAAACAAATTGCTCCACTAACCCCTCCCGTGATATGAGTATGAAGCCCATCGGGCACGAACTGTTCGCTATAGCTTTCATCACCCCCGTCGTGGCTTTTTTTGTTGTTACCAATAGCCCCAAGACATCCTTGTTGCGCCAATGTGGTGGTACACCCTGAAAGGATCCTTCGAGTTCGCGGATATGTTTCGGGTTGACACTATTACTCCTTGCCTTGCATTGTACGATGACGGGCATGGGTTCTCTGAGAGGTCCCAGCACCCAGTGTCCAATCAAGTCTATGCCTGCATCCCCCATACGGCCTATACGTAAGAGAGAGAAGCCTAGGCGCATGAGCGCCTGCGCCGACATGTACTCATAGATAGTACCAATAGCGAGAGTTGAGGTCAAATTCAGATTGGTTTCCTTCGCATATTCGAGGAACGTCGTAAGCGAATCGTGATACAGAGAGCCGGGCGAAAGTCTGAGTTTGGGTAGATCAATTGGCGCAGCATTGCGCGCTGAAGTGGTCGCGATTCGGCGTGGGACGCGGTGCGGAGTAGTTCGGGGGAGCCGTGCGAGAAATGAGGTTTGTGGGAGCCATAGTGGGCGGAGGGAAGGTCGCATCACGGTATCCTGAGATAGCGCTTGGAATGTGACATATTTACACGAGAATTGACGCGACGGAGAATGGAAGTGGGTGCCGGGCGTCGAGTGGGGTGAATTGGAGGAAAGAGCATTCGCGTATAATTTGGGCCCTGAACATGGCGGTGACGCGCTAGGCTAGCCCAGCCGGCGCATTCTACAACTCGGACGCGATACTTGCCTCTAGCATACACACTCAGATCAAGCACGCCAAACTCGCAGCTTTGATACCCAGCTTCATATATACTTCTTGGCAGCTAGAAGCCTTTACGCCTTCAACACATCCACCTGCCACCATGGGCGACATCCTCACCCAAATCCAAGATGAACTGGACATGGTACCACCCTCCAACCAACACACGACCCCCCCTCCTAACAAACCCAGCTCCTGAACCAAATGTCCGCCGCCCTCCGTCAAATCCGCGAAAACGCGCCACCAAGCGTCCCCGAAGGCCAACAACCCCTCGAAACCTTTGCCCAACTAGAAGCACGAAACGCCGCTGAGAACACACAACAAGGCATTGCCCAAGATCCCTCACAACAACCAATCGCGGTCCCGCCCAAACCCTCCCCAGAGCAGTTTCAAGCAGATCTGAAAGAAATGGCACAGGACATTACGTTGAAGGAGCAGCAGATTGAGAGGTTGATTGCGCATCTACCGGGCTTGAATTGGAGCGAGAGGGAGCAAGTGGATAGGATGAAGGAGTTGGAGAGGCAGTTGGAGGATCTGGAAGGAGAGACGGTAAAGGCGGTCAAGGATAAAGATGTCTTGATGAAGATGGTTGAAGATAAGATAATGGGCGTAGGGAGGGTCAGATGAGGTTATAATGCGGCTGAAGCAGGCGCTTTTAGGACTGCGATCGTGTATGTGTCACACCGGTACCTCACGCTACGTCGCATACATCGTCCGACTTCTCAAGGATATATCATCACGAAGGCCGTCCGACCGCTTTCTAGCTGCTGCAGTACCGCCAGCCTGTCTGCCGTTGCGGCAGCACGGATTACGTTGAATACTCAAGAACCACGCGGTTCTACACCACTATGGTGATACTTGCAGCTGTGTCGAGCTCAGCACTTTACTATCACATATTCTTCTTGCGGAGAGACTGATCACCGCGCAGAAGGATGGCAGCACTCTGAAGGGCCTTCCAAGGCAAGGAGCAGGCCGTGCCACTCAATAGATCACAATTTACTGATGGTCGAGTTGGAGGTCGAAGTATCCACATTTTGAAGGTATCGTAATCTCATCTCATTTAGACTGGTCATCTCGCCAATTCAATGCACGTTAAAGTCATCAGCAAATATCATCTTCATCTCTCACACCAACTTCTTAGTGGTGGAACAACCGGATGTGCTGCTCAACAAAGGTGATACCCAGCTTCTCAGCAGTCTCGAAGACGGCGCCATCGTTCTGGCTTCCTGTAGGCGCAGCAATGTACTTGGCACCACTCCTGTGCGCCCTGAAGACATTGTCGATGAAGGGGAAGAAGGCATCAGAGCTGACAGCGACGCTCTCCATCTTGGAGAGCCACTCCTTGCGCTCATCCGCGGTGAACGGCTGGGGTACCTCTTCGAAGTTGGCCTCGAAATCGTCGCGCTCAATGCCTGACTCGGGGACGAGACCAGAGCACAGGAGGTCGATGGCATTGGATTTTGAGGGGCGCTTGGTGCCCTTCTTGAACTTGAGGTTTAGCGTCTTCGAGTGGAAACGCATCCACCAGTTGTCGGCTTTGTCTCCAGCCAGGCGAGTGCAGTGAATGCGTGCTGTACAGGAATTAGTGGTTGCTCACCATATAGGATCTGTCGAACTTACATTGCTGACCAGCCCCGAGACCGACGATCTGGCCATTGAGCGCGTAGCAAACACTGTTGGACTGGGTGTACTTGAGCGCAATGGTGGCGACAGTCAAGTCGCGCTGGGCAGGCTCCGGAAGAGCTCCAGAGTTCTTGGGCACAATCACGGTGTTGAAAGTATCGGTAGGGACGATCTTGGCGTCGTTGCGGTGCTGCTTGAGGGTGATGCCGAATACGGTCCTGGTCTCCTCGGGGCCTGGGACGTAGTCGGGGTCCATCTGAAGGACCAGGTACTTTCCACCCTTCTTCTTCTTGAGGATCTCCAGAGCTTCGGCGGTGTAGCCGGGTGCAATGACACCGTCGGAGACCTCGCGGCTGATGATCTTCGCAGTCTGGACATCTACCTCAGCGGACAGGGCAATCATGTCGCCGAAACTTGACATCCTGTCAGCACCACGCGCCCTAGCGTAGGCCTGTGCCAAACCCGACTTCTCAATGCCCTCAATGTCGTCGACCATGTATACCTTGCGCTCCACCTCACTGAGGGGGACTCCGATAGCCGCGCCCGCAGGCGAAACGTGCTTGAAGCTGGCTGCGGCTGGGTAGTTGAGCGCCTTGGTCAGCTCCTGCACCAGAGGCCATGCGTTGAGCGCATCGAGCAGGTTGATGTATCCGGGAGAGCCGCAGAGCACCTTGAAGGGCAGAGACTTTTCCGGCATCGAGACGGTCGCGGGCTTTTGGTGGGGGTTTGCGCCGTATCGAAGGGTAAGGAACTGGTCGCCGTCGCCTGCGTACTTCTTCCTGAAGAACTCGGAGATGGCGGTGTCGTATGACGAGGTCTGCTCGAAAGCCTTCAACGCGTAGCGCTGTCTGCTGTTCTCTGAGACCTCGCCGTCTTTCTTGAGTTCGGTAAGGAGGTCATGGTAATCGTTGGGGTCGCTGATGATGGTGACGCGTGCGTGGTTCTTCGCGGCGGCCCTAAGAAGGGTGACACCTCCGATGTCGATCTCCTCGACGGCCTCTGGGATGGTAACGTTGATGCGCGCGACGGTCTCGGAGAAGGGGTACAGGTTGCATACGACGAAGTCGATCTTGTCGATGCTGTTGGCGGAGAGGTCTGAGTCGTCCGAGTCGAGGTTGCGCGCGAGAATGCCTCCGTGTACGGCGGGGTGGAGCGTCTTGACGCGTCCACCGAGCATCTCAGGCGCCTTGGTGATGGCAGAGACATCTTCTACGGGGAAGTTGGCCTGGCGGATCATCTTGGCCGTGCCGCCCGAGGCCAGCAGGCGGACACCGCATTCGTGCAGTCCCTTGGCCAAGTCAAGAAGACCGGTCTTGTCATAAACTGACAGAATCGCTGGCGCAAAGAGTTAGGAGCAATTTATGGGTACTGGAAGCGCGTGGTTACCTGTCTTTTGGCCTCCCATGTTGACTATGATTTGAATGTTCAGTTGTCAATTGAAGAGAGGCAGTCAAGTAAAGCAGAGAGATCTGGGGTACAAAACAATGGCGCACGACACACTGTGGAGTTTTTTTGGCGTCGCGGGGCTCACAAGTGACCTCATTTGCCTGCCCCTCCATGGCTTTAGCCCGATTGGCCAGAGCTCGTCTCCGCTACGCGACTGCGAGACGCAAACTCCAGATGACTACGGCTCGTATCCTTTAGATATACACGTAGCTCCCGCTGTGCATCGCCTGTCTTCCCATATCCATGTGTCGTACCGATCATGGCGTCCACTCACCGCTCGTCAGCTCCTCTACGCAGAGTTGAGCGATGCAGCCAATCGCCATGGCCATGTCAATTATCGCGCCTCGGTCCTCCGTTGCGATACGCATATATCAGCCGCTGAATCTCTCAAGAATCACATCCGCCGCCATTTAGACCTCATCGCGGCGCGCGTTTCTTTTTTGTGTCACTTGCATGCACAGCAGTACCCGCGACAAGTCACCACCCTCGCCAATGTGCCGTGGGCCTCCCGACCCATCCATCTTCGAACGCGTACTTCCGTTTCCAACGCATTGAGATCCCGTAGACATCATGACAACGCATAGTAGTACCGAAGACCTCGTCAGCCATCTCCAGTCTATTCTGCTGGAGCTCAACGCGAACCCCTATCCCGATGTCGCGTGTCCGCCAAACCTGCCTAAACGCGCTTCCGTAGCCCTCATACTGCGCATACAACCAAACTACTCGCATTGGCCTGACAGCTCCGATAGCCCTTTACCGCCTCGACGCAGACGATCATCTGTCGCACAGCCCCATTCCGAATTCGACTTTGAGTCGTCACTAAGCGCCTTCTTCTCACAAGAATGGGTGAAGCACGGAGACCCCGAGCTACTCTTCATAAAGCGAGCCGCACGAATTGGTGATAAGTGGAACGGACATGTTGCATTGCCAGGTGGGAAGAGGGATCCAGAGGATGAGGACGACCAGGCAGCAGCAGCTAGAGAAGCGCTCGAAGAGGTTGGCATTGATCTGACCCCTGCCAATGCGATCGCGGTCGGCAATCTACCGCAGCGCATCGTTACGACGAGCTGGGGCAAAGTACCGTACGTCGTCACACTCAACATCACTTAGACTTGGATCATGGAGACTATAATCGACCGAACCTCGGCTGACCACAAGCAGACTCATGGTACTATGCCCGTACATCTACCTCCTGACCTCTCCCGCCTACCCACAGCAACGCCTGCAGCCCACCGAAGTAGCCTCGTCACATTGGGTCCCCATTCGCGCCCTTCTCTCGCCGGCTCTCCGTACACACGAATACGCCGATGTCTCGGCGCGTCTGGCAAAGTCTGAACTTGGTATCAAGCGCTGGTTCCTACAAGCCATGCTGAGCAAGATGATGTTTGCTGCCATACAACTCGTACCAGCCAACTCGACGCATTGCGCAACCATCCCCGACTTCATACCCGTCGAAGCAGCGCCACAGAGTATCACAAATACGATCAGAGAAGCATTGGCAGGCCCCGAGGGAAGATCTAAGGACCGTAGGCCTCCATTATTGCTATGGGGTTTGACATTGGGCGTCGTAAGCGACTTTCTAGAACACATGCCACCACACAACGCGCTGGAGCTCTGGACATACCCTACGTTTACCAACTGGGACGTACGGTTCGTCATGTGGGCCATGTCGTACCGGTTCCGGAAGCAGAAGTCCTTGGAAATGAGCACAGCTGCGTCGAGCGTGACAACGACGAATAGCCAGAATGCGACAGGGCTGCCCACCCAGGACTTCCCAGGTATTGGCAGTGAAGCGCTTGGATCTTTGGAGGAAGAGAAGCCTGGTGAGGTTGGCATAGCTGGCTTGGGTGTAGGAAGAGGGTGGGGACAAAGCGGGAGAGCGAAGATGATGGCGAGAGGCGCTGCAGTCAATTCCATGTTAGAGGGCTACTATCCGCTTGTCAGGAGGGCGGTTGCCACGGCACTTGTTGGCCGGATCAGTGTTGTGGCTTTGGTTGCGTTCTTGGCTTGGAGGAAGTTGGATGTTAGATCGCTAAGAGCACGATTGTAGGCTTCGTGCTTGAGTCTGGTTACTGGTAAGAGCAGCTTCCGACGATGCCATTGGAACTGTCATCTGTTGAATCCATGTCAGGCTATGAATACCACATCTGTATATGCGCAACGGAATACACACTCCTAAGATCGACGTATCCTCCTCGTTCATGAATTCTATACGTAATAACTACTAGCGGGCGAGCTGGTCTGGTCCAGTGTTGCTATTTTCCGGTTCAGTAGTGACCTCATCAATACAATGAGGACTTCATGAAGGACCTGACCGGGCCGAAGATTGGAACGTCGTGCTTCAAGGCCATAGGGTCTGATGCGAAGATCTGCTGAGATTTGCTTGCACAGCACAGTCCCTACCTGCCCTTACGACATGCCCTGTAAAGACCCCAACACAACGTCCCCACACTTCGCATCATACTTCTCCGGTCTCGCAAACGATATCTCCGCTCGATTCCCCACAGCAATCTCACCCCAACTCTTCTTCTCCGGATCGAAAATCGGCCAGCCCAGCTTCGTCAGTCCTTCCTTCGGGTCCTCAGCAAACGCCGCAACAGCGCGCTGCACAAGCCTAACAGTGTCTTTCTGAGCCTGCGTTTGAGGGAGGCCACTGGCATCCGCAGAGCCACCAAAAATCATGTTCAGTTCAGTCCCGTGATACGCACCAGATGTAGGATACAGACGGGTATTGTTCCAGTCGCCGTAGTATCGGTAGACCCACGTGGGTACACCAGCATCGATGCGTGCATTGGCTTCATGGGAAATGGGGCAGACGAAGGACTCAAGGAGGAACTGGTCGCCCTGCGCCTTCGTCACATTTCGACCTTGTGCAAAAGCTGGGATGACGTAGTAACCTTGTTCGTGGTCGTTGTGGCCGTGGAAATAAGGCAGTTTGGCGAAGTCGCCGGCGGCTGAGCGGGAGAGGTAGTCGGCGAAGATGGTTTCGTTGTCGACCAGGGGGTAGAAAGGCGGTGTTGAACGGACTGGACTGCCGCCTGGGCTGGGAGCGATCTTTGCTGCGGCTTTTGACAGGACTTCCCAGGGTTGACGGCGCATGCAGGATAGTGTGTCGTTTGATGAGCCGCATCCTACTAGGTTGACGATGTCAACCCAGTTGGATCGTTGCTTTTCTGGGGTGTTCATAGGGAAGCTGAATGCGTTTCCTGATGTGGACATGAGACCGTGGACGATAGGGTTCTCCTTGTACGCATAGGACCACCAGTCCACAGCTGCACCGCCGGAAGATTGACCGGATATGACGATTTTCTTCGCGTCTCCGCCAAATGCTGCGACATTCTTCTGAAGCCATTCCACTGCGAGACGTTGGTCGCGCAATCCTAGGTTGCTGTCTGCATCAGGGGCACCAGGGAAGCCAAAGACATTGAGGCGGTAGTTGACTGAAACGACGACGATGTCCTCGTTGTTTGCGAGGTATTGGCCATTGGCAAAGGGCGTGTTGGTATAGCCGCCCGCGAAGCCTGTTCAAGTAAGACAAGTGGACGCTGGGGAATAGGAAGACCACTGATGACCTACGCCCTCCATGGAAGAAAACATAGACAGGCTTCTTCGCCTTAGCAGACTTAATGGCTGGCTTTGACCAAATATTCAAAGTAAGGCAGTCCTCACTTGTGGGCATTCCAGTACCACCAGCAAACTGAAACAGGGGGTCAAATCAGTACCCATTTGCAGGTGTGGATAGTGTTGCATGTCAAAAGTAACGTACTTGAAAGGGTTAGCAAGGTTGTAGATAGAATAAGGGTACTCTGCGTGTATCAAGCTGCACGAACTCGCGACCCTGTCGTTACGGCGTCTTGCACTGGTATACACTCTCTTTCTGGGATCTCGTACCGGAGTCAAGTACATCCAATGCTTGAGGAGTAAATCCAGGAAATGCGGGCCAGTTGGGAGGTTGTTGTGGGCAGCCACTGTACATAAACTTAGCTTGATAATACATGCAGCATCAATGCCAGGCGCCTACTATCCCTGTTCTAATCGTCAATACATTTAGATCCCATGGGCTGGTAACGCTAAGTAAATGCTTACGAATTTGGCAGCAATATATTCCCCTTGGCCTTTGTACTTCTGAGGTGCAGCGAATCGGAAAGCACCGAGTGGTGGCTGCGCATATGGGACACCCAGATACTCCCAGACCTCGTTGGCTTTGGGTGAGCGATGGCCGGTGATCTGCCCATTCTCGGTCTTCACGTGCTCGTAGGAAGACGCCTTTGGCGTAGCCAGAGACAACTCAGTGGCACAGAGCCATAACGATAGGGTTGCAATACTATGTATCTTGATCTAATCGCTCCTCACAGGAGCCGCGACTGTCGACAAAAAGGTGCGGATAAAAGTTGGTGCCCGTAGGATCTTGTACTTTCTGAGATGTAGGAGGCAATAAGAACGCTGGTCGCAATCTTAGATTCGATTGCTGCCGTGCGCGAATATAGCTGGGAATGCCTTCGATGTCCTTATATCCGAACTACCCTGCGAGACAGCTTGTACAACTATGCCGCATGCAAGGTTCCTTGACGCCTTTCCTCAAATGGGAGGCTGACGCATGAAGGATTGTCGCTTATGTGTTTCCCGGGGTCGGAGGAACACTGATCGGTTCACCCGTCCCGGAGATCACCACATTCGATAATGTCTCTCCACTGAGAGCGATATGAGCTGTTGTGACAGCCAATGAAGTTGGGTCCACGACATAGAGACGTGGAGAAGGTTATGTGGGCTCTGCGGCACAGACTCCTGGTTGCAGACCGAAGGATGAGAACAGAGCATTCAGATGATGACCTTGTCCGCTCGAGGCTTCGACTTCGTGATGTCTCTCCCACAGAATAGCTTCGTGAACGATACGGACTTCCAAGGGAGATGACGTTCAACATGGGATTTCCGTCAAATGGTGAAGCCAACCAAGGATGGAAATTATTCCTTACATCCCTAGTAATGATCATTGTCGCTGGTCTCACGGTCGTTGCCAGAATTGCCGTACGAGTTCGAGGAGATGTGGCATTACGGGCTGATGACTACACGATCGTAGCGTCTTTGGTAAGTACATTGTATACTCGCCGGTATCCTGACTAATACGTGTTAGCTGCTCTCCACATCAATGTCGGCCTTTGTTCACGCATCTGTTGGGTACGGCTATGGCAGACACGAGGCTGATCTTTCGATCGAAGAGCTGCGGATGTGCCTCAAGTTTTTCTGGCTCGCGCAGACGCCATAAAAAATTGTGGTGTGCTTGAACAAAATCTCCGTTGTCTGGTTGTACCAGCGCATTTTCATCTCAAGCATCCTCATCTCACGCCACTTCCGTTGGATGTGTTATTGCGCACTTACCATCGTTGGCGCGTCTGGAGTTGCCACTGTTTTCGCGACTATCTTCCAATGCGTCCCAATCCAGCGATCCTGGGATAAGGATGTCAAAGGAAACTGCATCGACAGCTCGGAATTTTGGGTAGCAAACGCCGTGATAAACATATCGACAGATGTGGTCGTATTGGCATTGCCCATTCGGGAGATCTCGGAACTACAGCTCCAAATCAAAGAAATGATCTTGCTATATAGCGTATTCTTGCTCGGCGGGTTGTAAGTGTGGCTTGTATGAACAAGTGTCTTGGCGTGGCCATCACTATATGCTGTACATACACTGACGAGATCATTAGCGTAACAATAACGTCGATACTACGTGCTACAGCCGTTGCTAACAGCGAACGCAACCAACGAGACGAAACTTGGGATTTTATAGAGAGAGGCCTCTGGACGCTGGTCGAGACAAATCTAGGCATAATCTCCGCATGTCTGATTGTGCTGAAGCAAGTCTTGTGCCGCTATTTTTTGTCAGCACTTGGAGGTATGAGGACACCCAAAGCTAGAACTGGACATCAGTAAACAATGGTGCTTCACTGTAGCATGTATCGTGTTGATCGTGAATGAAGTGCTACACTCAAGGTCCATGTATGCGGTAAGTGACCGATTGTGACGAGTACCTCGGAGACATGTGAAAGCCCCTTTGGGGCTTGTGACTAGAGTGATCGGTTTCCAGCACGAGTCCTGCCTCGGTGCATTTGATATCATCGCGGCCCCAGCAAGACGTTTGTAGCATGTGGAAATCGGCAATGAAGCTCGTCGGTTGCTAGTATGCGCCAAGATCAAGGTTGCAAGCCCCAGGATCGATCTGAGGGGCCCGATAAAGCCGTTGAACGTGTTCTAGGGGCGATCCTCCGCCCAATATTCTCCGTGATCCACTTCCCGGTGGTGATGGGTAGTGGGGTTGGCATGTGAAAGTCCCGAGTACGCAGGTGCTAGTCGCTACAGCGCGACCACACCTATCAAAGTTGGCCGAGAGAAGGCTGAAAGTAGCTCCAGAACTGGAGTAGTCTGGAAACGAATTCGTGACGAGAAGAAGAAAGTTGACATCATCAGGGTGTGTTCGGGACGAAAGATGTGAGACGTCTTGCTACAACGGCCCGAACGGAGGTGAGGCTCAGCAAGAGGCGTTGAACGCGAGCAAAGCATATCGAGTGCAAGGGATTCTGAGTATCGTGATACAGGTGTAAGAGGAGTACTGCGCTAGACGCCAATTCGACGTGGTTCGAGGACCGTTGTGGTATGGCTTGCGAGATTCTGCTAGCAGAGATAAGATAGACTAGCGTAACCGAGAGCGCCAAGCGATGCACCTGGACATGTATGGGGCAGTAGCTAGGTGTGAGATGACGATGTATAGTTTGTTGGGACCGACAAAGTGTGCAAGCCCACCGCTGAACAGCCGCAGTAGATAAGCGTCAATGAGCTCGTCATGCGATGCCACACCATGAAGAGGCCTCTGGCAGCGATGGCAGATGTGATGGGAGCTCGAGACGTGGCCCAAAGGACCCCTCCACGTGTGGAGACGCGTTCGAAGGGCGAAGGCTGAACCTCGGCGGGGTCTACGGCGAATCAATCTGGTTGAATGGTGCCTGGCGCGCTAGCCTAGACCCTGCAGCGAGGCCTGCACCATCCGTGGGAGGCATTCCGACTTTTTGCGATGTGCGCCCACAACGTTTTCGAGCCATTGCGGGCTTCCGTAGAGTGCGCATTGCTTTTGCTCGTGGCAGGAGATAGTAGCCTACACACTCAGTAGTGTAGCGGGTTTCATTCGGCGCCAACTCAGACAATCGCCACCAGTTCAAGCCCGGCAGATATCCACCTGGTACCTGCGGGCGATGACTCTAGGCGAGGCGCTGGAGTGCGGGTGGTGATGGGCACAAACAAGCGGTCTGCTTGCCATACTCGTGCCTAGCGACGCGCCAAGCCAGCGGATGAGAGCGATCTGCTGAAAATTCAGGGCCCCATGTAGACTGGCTTGTTGCGGGAGGGAGCTAGAGAATGCAGTGCTGGACACGCATGCCGGTGGAGATGGCACCGTGTACCACGCCTCTCGACCAGGACAGAGCTGTCCGTGTCCAGTGCGGTGGCGAGGGAGGGCAATGGTGAAAGTAATTTTTGCCGGGTGGAGAGAGATGCACAAGGTGTAGAGAGAAAGCGTGCTAGTTGATGGAGCCGGACCTGTCTGATTATCGAAGCGAAACGGCTTCTCGAACGCCCCTGGCTCGTCGACCTGCCCACTCCTACCCTGGCGCATACCCAGAAATTCATCGACACCGCCCTGAGGGCCCTGGTTTAAATTCCCACCTGTCCCGCACACACAGCGCCCTCCTTCACCTAATCTCGCTCACTCTTTGAAAGTCGTACAGACCTTCATCCACCTGCCAGCCCCGGCACACTCACCAATTCGCAGCCTGCCCTGCATCTCAACAGTTGATAGCCCTCTGGTGCTGCAACTGCTCAGGCTTGCTCCCCACCGCCAACCCTCTTTCCCCTCCACCACCACACCACAACCTCTCCCACCATGGCAACCTCGACTGCCCGCGCCCAGCAGCCTGTGCTGAGGAGGAACATGACGGCCGATTCGACTGCCAACTCAGTCTCGGCCTCACCCTTCGACTCGCCAGCGGGTTCAGCCTCCAACACGTCGCTGTCCTCGATGGACGAGCAGCCCCAGCACTCTAAGAAGGCTACCGGCAAGCTCCTCGACACATACGGCAACGAGTTCGAGATCCCCGACTACACCATCAAGCAGCTGCGCGATGCCATCCCCAAGCACTGCTTCGAGCGCTCTGCCATCCGTGGTCTGGGCTACGTCGCCCGCGACCTCGCCTCGCTCGCCGCCACCTTCTACGTGTTCCACAACTACGTGACTCCCGAGACGGTCCCCAACATGCCCCTCCGCGCTGGTCTCTGGGCCCTATACACTGTCCTCCAGGGCTTCTTTGGCACTGGTCTGTGGATTCTTGCCCACGAGTGCGGCCACCAGGCCTTCTCGCCCTCCAAGGTGCTCAACGACACTGTCGGCTGGGTCTGCCACTCTCTCCTCCTCGTTCCCTACTTCTCCTGGAAGATCTCCCACGGCAAGCACCACAAGGCCACCGGCCACATGGAGCGCGACATGGTCTTCGTCCCCAAGACCCGCGAGGTCTACGCCACCCGTGTTGGCAAGGCGATCCACGAGATCTCCGAGCTGGCTGACGAGACTCCCATCTACACCCTGCTCCACACCATCGGCCAGCAGCTCGGTGGATGGCCCATGTACCTCATGGCCAACGTCACCGGCCACAACAACCACGAGCGCCAGATCGAGGGCAAGGGTAAGGGCAAGAAGAACGGCCTGTTCAGCGGCGTCAACCACTTCAACCCCTCCAGCCCCCTGTACGAGAAGCGCGACGAGCACCTCATCCTGCTCAGCGACCTCGGTATCGCTCTTGTCATCGCTGCTCTCACCTTCATCGGCAAGAGCTACGGCTTCAACAACCTCTTCGTCTGGTACATCATCCCCTACCTGTGGGTCAACCACTGGCTCGTCATGATCACCTTCCTGCAACACACCGACCCCACCCTGCCCCACTACGATGCCACCACCTGGACCTACACTCGTGGTGCCGCTGCTACCATCGACCGCGAGTTTGGCTTCATCGGACGCACCCTCCTTCACGGCATCGTCGAGACCCACGTCCTCCACCACTACATCTCCACCATCCCCTTCTACCACGCCGACGAGGCCACCGAGGCTATCAAGCCCATCATGGGCAGGCACTACCGCTCTGACACAAAGGATGGTCCCATCGGTTTCTTGAAGGCTCTTTACAAGAGTGCCCGCTGGTGCCAGTGGGTCGAGCCCAGCGTCGGTGCTGAGGGCGAGGGCAAGGGTGTTCTATTCTTCCGCAACCACAACGGCCTCGGTGTGCCACCGCAGAAGATCGATGCTCCCGGAGCTAAGAAGGCTGCGAAGATGGAGGTTGGCCCTGAGAGTGACAACGAGTAAGCGATGATTACGAATCTTATTTTTCAGAGCGGACTATTCTGCCACGGCGTTCGGGAGTCGCCCGACGAGGCTGCAAACTTTACTTCTTGCGGCGCACATTAGACTAGAAAGACCAGTCAAGGTATGATTTCGGTGTAGTGTAGATCTTTTGTCGCAGGCCCTTGAGGGATCAAACAATTTCAAAAGTTAATCAATCAGAAGAAACCACCATGCAGTCGTGACAGTGAAGAAGTGAGATGGGTAGCTTGAGTTTCCCCGCACACGATGTCCGCGGTGACCCGGCGTAAACGTGACGTTGGCAGAGCCGCATACATGTATGAAAGCCTGGCCGGCCCTCTACACGCGCACGATAGACTTCATATATCGAAGCCGTTGCCTTGTTATCCCGGCTGCTTGCGAATGTTACCTCACGAATATCCGCAAGGTTCAAGCTCGGAAAAACCTCTACTGCACGCACACCGCCTCGGCATACGCATGATGGCAAGAGTGGTGGTGGCCACCATGTTGTAGCTCATCGAGAGCAACGCGCTGAGGACCAGCGTAGGAAGCATCTGCAGCTTCATCACCACCTATCATGGAGCGCTGAGCCATCTCAAGCTCCACCACACATAAGCAAAGCTTCTTCTTCAATCAAAATGTAGCGACGTTGGTAAGGAACAAGATATCATCAGAAAACCTCGTCTGCTCCAGCTACCTCGCACGGTGAGTCGTGCTCTTGGGCACGTAATAGAGGATAGCTAGGTTGAGTGCCAAACTTTCCTACAATAAATTGTGCCCGAAATGAGTGAAGAAGAGAAGGTCGGAGGGCGGCCGGCGAGAATTTTGTGGCAGGCGCGAGCGGCGCTTTGGCCAATCACGGCTGGATTATTCAGTCGCCAAGCCTGAGCGATGCCATCGTGAACGTCAGTTGGAGCTCCGCAGCCACAAGTCCATCGCCATCTTTCAGAGCCTCACAATGCTGCGGCAACAGATGATCCGGTCGCTGCGGAGGCCTGCCTTCCGCGCAGCCCTCAATGGCAGCCGGGCCTTGAGTGCCTCGGCCCGCCGCCCAGCAGACGTTGAGCTCACTATCGGTTTGTGCCACTCCCCATTGCGGGCGGCGAGGTATGCTAACGCCCGTGTCAGATGGAGAGAAGGTATCAATCGAAGGTACGAAGCCGAAACACACCCCCTCGTGACTGCACACACGGTTCTAATGCGCCCCAACAGCCGGCTCCTCCCTCATCCAGGCCTGCGACAAGGCCGGAGTTACCATCCCGCGATACTGCTACCACGAGAAGCTGATGATTGCTGGAAGTTGCCGTATGTGCTTGGTCGAAGTGGAGCGGGCTCCTAAGCCAGTCGCCTCTTGCGCATGGCCTGTACAGCCCGGTATGGTCGTCAAGACCGACTCGCCTCTCGTCCACAAGGCGCGTGAGGGCATCATGGAGTTCCTGCTCGCCAACCACCCTCTGGACTGCCCCATTTGCGACCAGGGAGGCGAGTGCGATCTCCAAGATCAGTCCATGCGATACGGTGCCGACCGCGGCCGCTTCCACGAGCTCGAAGGAAAGCGTGCGGTGGAGGACAAGAACGTTGGCCCATTGGTCAAGGTAGGATTCTACAGTGTCTGGTCCCGAGAACATGGCTTACAGATAGCAGACCTCCATGAATAGGTGCATTCACTGCACTCGTTGCGTCCGTTTCTCTAACGACATCGCTGGTGCTCCTGAGTTTGGTTCTTTCGGCCGTGGCAACGACCTGGAAATCGGCACATACCTCGAGACCGCCCTTGATACCGAACTCTCCGGAAACGTCATCGATCTCTGCCCCGTCGGTGCCCTCACCTCGAAGCCCTACGCGTTCAAGGCCCGCCCATGGGAACTATACAAGACTGAGTCCATCGACGTTCTTGATGGACTTGGCTCAAACATCCGCATCGACGCCCGTGGTATCCAGGTCATGAGGGTCATCCCGCGACTTAACGACGACATCAACGAGGAATGGATCAACGACAAGACCCGCTTCGCCTGCGACGCTCTCAGCACACAGCGCCTTGTCAACCCACTAGTCCGCGTTGACGAACAATTCCAGCCCGCCACCTGGGAGCAGGCGCTGGTCGAGATTGGCAACGCATACAAGAAGATCGCACCCAAGGGCAACGAATTCAAGGTCGTGGCTGGCCACCTCGTCGAGACTGAGGCGCTGGTGGCCATGAAGGATCTTGCCAACAGACTCGGCTCAGACAACCTGGCTCTTGACCAGCCCGGTGGCAGCGAACCCATCGCTCACGGAATCGATGTCAAGTCAAACTACTCCTTCAACTCCAGGATCTACGGTGTTGAGGATGCCGACTACATTCTCCTCATTGGCTCCAACCCCAGATGGGAGGCCGCCGTTCTTAACGCTCGCATCAGGAAGCAGTGGCTGAGGACAGACCTTGAGGTTGGCTACGTTGGTGAGGACTTTGAGAGCACATTCGAGTACGAGAAGCTTGGAAGCAACGCCAACGACCTCAAGAGCGCTCTTTCTGGGGAGTTCGGAAAGAAGCTGGCTTCGGCCAAGAAGCCCATGATCATCGTCGGTAGCGGTGTCACTGAGCACGTTGACGCTAAGTCGATTTACGAGCAGGTTGGATCTTTTGTCGAGAAGAACAAGGACAAGTTCCACACCGAGGAGTGGAACGGCTACAACATCTTGCAGCGAACAGCTTCCCGAACTGGCGCCTACGAGGTTGGCTTCACCGTTCCCTCATCTGAGGTCGCCCAAACCAAGGCCAAGTTTGTCTGGCTTATGGGCGCAGATGAGGTCAACGAAGCCGACATCCCCAAGGACGCCTTTGTTGTCTACCAAGGCCACCACGGCGACCGCGGCGCACAGCTCGCCGATGTCGTCTTGCCTGGTGCCGCATACACCGAGAAGTCGGTCACATACGTCAACACCGAGGGTCGTGTACAAATGACCCGTGCTGCTGTTGGCCTTCCCGGCGCTTCAAGAGAAGACTGGAAGATCGTGCGAGCAGCCTCAGAGTACTTTGGCGCCGAGCTGCCCTACGACGATGTTGAGGCCCTGCGTGACCGCATGGAAGAGATCTCACCTGCTCTCAGGAGATACGACCTTGTTGAGCCCGCATCGCTACCCAGCTTGAGCAAGGTTCAGCTGGTAGACCAGAACCAGGGCGCACAAGCGACTGGTCAAGCGCTGAAGAATCCCATTGAGAACTTCTTCTTCACAGATGCCATCTCGAGAAAGTAAGTCACATCCATGATGCTGCCCCCATTGCTGCACAATACTAACCATGACATAGCTCGCCAACAATGGCCCGTTGCTCGGCAGCCAAGGCCCAGAAGAACCCCAAGACAAACTTCATGGCACCAGGTGAGCCATACCCACAAGTCGGCTATGGTCCTCAGGTAGCAGCAGCAGCGAACGTTTAGATGTGCATTTGGTCATGGTTGAATATTGGGCTTTATCAGGATTGTAAATAAGCATTGTGACACGTTTTCTCGATTTTGGCACGTGATCCGCGATACGTAGAGAATCGAAGCGGTACCCGCGCCAGGTTGTTCAAAAATCAGTCCCGTGGCATGTCTGTAAAGGTTGAGGTATTTAATTCCAAAATACCAAGCCTTCACACAGCCTTGTACAAGCCGTCAGCCAAGGCGCTACGCGTGTGCGACCCACGTTCGCCTTCGTCGCGATCTCTCCAGGATGCCAACCACTCCCCATATTTCCCACTTATACTACCACCTGTTGCTTTCTTGTGCAGACCAAGCCTCTTGTCACCACCACCAAGCTTTTGGCGTCGCTGTGTCTTGTGATTGCAGACCGCCCCAGTATCACCGAAACGCTAACTTCTACCCCACGGATCGACCACAACACTCTACATAAAAGGCGAACATCACTCTGCAAAAGAAAGAGAGGTTTGCAGTCGCTTCAGTCGTCTCATACAACCTTGGGAAGCAAAAGAAGATATTTGTTAAGCTTTGCCGTCAAGCTTCGCCGAGAGTTTAGCAGAGCCATCGAAGAAGCCGACATAGCCGTTCGCCGGATTTTGAGGGTCCGTTCAGGGTTCGGTGGCCAGCCATGCCTACCTTGGCGGTCAACAACTTCAACATTGTCTGTGCGACATTGGGAGGATTCATTACGCTTTTCGGTCTCGTCAGCTATTTGATGAAAGAGCATTATTATCTTAGTGAAGCCTGTAAGTTGCTGACCGCCTGGGTCTGGACCATGAGAATCTTGGGCAAAGAAGAGCGCATAGCTAATCTGCGTGTGTTTAGTAATATCACTCATCGCTGGACTCATCTTCTCACCACATGCGACAAATTGGATCAAACCAGAAGAATACGCTCTCAACGATGTCGAAGTGCTGGACACCATCACTTTGTACTTTACGCGCCTGGTGCTAGGCGTCCAACTTGTCCTCGCGGGTGTGCAGCTTCCCTCAAAATATCTGAAGACAGAATGGAAGAGTTTAGCTCTGCTACTCGGCCCGGGCATGACGTTCATGTGGATCGTGACAAGTCTGCTCGTCTTCGCTATGGTCCCGCACATCAGCTTCCTGCATGCCCTGGCCGTAGGCGCCTGTGTCACGCCGACGGATCCTGTATTGTCCAACTCCATCGTCAAGGGAAAGTTTGCGGATGCCAACATTCCGAAAGAGCTGCAGAAGATTATCGTGGCTGAATCGGGAGCCAATGATGGCCTTGGGTACCCGTTCTTATTTCTACCGCTCTACCTTATTGAGCACATTGGTCATGGTGGTCAAGGCTCGGACAACAGCACCAGAGTCGCAGTAGGCTTATGGTTCGGTGAGACTTGGGGCTACACAATTATACTCAGTGTGGTTTACGGAGCTGCTGTGGGTTGGATTGCGAAGGAACTATTGCATTGGGCTGAAGAGCGGAAATACGTGGACCGTGAGAGTTTCTTGGTGTTTGCAATCACCCTGGCTGTAAGTTTCTCATGCAAGTCTTGATGATGTGAGAGTTACTGACCGCAGAATTAGCTCTTCATTGTTGGAACATGCGGCATGATTGGTAGCGACGACGTGCTTGCCTGTTTTATCGCCGGCAATACATTTACCTGGGATGACTGGTTCCGCCTCGAAACGATGGACGACTCATTCCAGCCTACTATCGATATGCTCTTGAACGTATCCATATTCATCTGGTTCGGCGCTGTGTGCCCGTGGCGCCTCTTCGCGCATTCGCCTGTCATTCCCATCTACAGACTCATTCCCTTGGGCATCCTCGTACTGCTGTTTCGCCGGCTGCCCATCATTTTCGCCATGCACAAACAGATCCATCAGATTGAGCAAAAGCGACAAGCACTCTTCGTGGGCTTCTTCGGTCCCATCGGCGTGAGCGCCATTTTTTACCTCTACATCAGTCTCGAGTTTCTCGCCAAGATCCAAGTCGATGGCGAAGTCAGGGAAGATGCTGCATACCTGATGGAAGTCATGAACGTGGTTATTTGGTTCTTGGTAATCTGCTCGGTTGTAAGTTCATTCTCATTCCATGATCTCAGAACCTTGTATGCTAACGTCACAGGTCGTTCACGGTCTATCCATTCCTCTCGGCAAAGTTGGCTTCTTCATCCCCCGCACCCTCAGCACGGCCTTGTCCTTTGCCCGCACCGGCTCTGCCTCCCCCGAGGACACCGGTCCAGCTTTCCACATCGAGGGAAATGACCAGACTATCACGGATGCCGAAGCGCGCGTTCGCCGCCGTCCAGGCTGGTCGCGCAACGGTGGCGACTCGCTGCCAAACCGCGTCGTGCGCATCGGCAGGTCTATAATCAGTTCGGGGACTAGCTCGGCGAGTACATCGAGAGCTACATCAAGAGCACCTAGTACGAGCCGCTCAGCTAGTCAGCCACCAGTACCAATGGCCAGTGTCAACGCCTTGGTCTCGGATGGGGAGGGTGCGGCGCCTAAAGGAGGAGTAAAGGCTGGTAGTGAGAACGGCGAGGCGCCGGATCCAGCTGAAAGAGTCATTCCTGGAAGAACGATTAGATTTCATGACGAACAAAACAAGACCAAGGCTGGAGATGAAGAGTAGGGAATTGGTGGTCGATCTTTTTCCTATGTTCGAGTCTGTGTGTTCATGTCGAACATATATGTGGCATTTAGCGACGACATCTGAATCATCTAATAACTTTTCATGGTAAAATTACACACATTCCACGATGTTACATAGAACATTTTGACATACTCTTCAGAGTACCACAAACGTTAAATATCGAAGATTTGGCCCGATCACGTCCATTCAAACCACACCAACAACACCCTTCTCTCCACCCTCCCTCCTCGCAATCTCTTCTACATCCACAACCGTCCCTTCCTTAACACTCTTTTCCAACTCCTCTCTCTTGACTGCACACCTCGCACTATACGTCGCTTGATCCCTCTTACACTCCTTTTCCCAGAAGAAGTTCTCACCCCAGCATGCCACGCCGACCAATTCAAGCACCAGCACAGACACGACTAGTCCCGTGGTCGTTGCTATCAACCGCAGGCTATCGAGGTGCGCAAGGGGAAGCATGACTATGATGACCGAAACAGCGGCACGGAAGACGAGACGCACGGGTTTGCGGAGTCGCTGGTTGGGAATCGTGCGGTGGACGTGTGTTGCTGAGATGACAGTGAGGCAGAGGATTGAGATGCCTAGACCACCGCAGTAGAACCAGACTAGGCCTTCGGAGATGTGGTCTTCGGAACGAGGAATGAAGGTTTTGGATAGAGAATCCAGAGGTGCGGAGGCGGTGTCGTGGGCGCGGACTAGGACGCCGAGGGCTGATGCGGATAGGACGAAGGACATGATGAAGGGGAGGTGGGCGGAGAACCATGTCAAAGCTGATTCAATCGTTAGCCCTGGTGTAGGATTTGGGTATTTAACTTACCAGAGAACACATGTCGACGGATAGCATGCGTATGAAGATTGAACGAGTCAATCTCAAAGTAGACCCAGTTCAGCACGAACGTCTGCACCAACCCCAGCACCGCCTTCCCAAAGAACGCATTGATCCCCATCGCCACACTACTCTGGTACAGCAAGCCCAACACACAAGACCCAAACACCAGCGTGACAAACGCATTCGTCCGCTCAATCCGATGCTCAATATTTGTCGCGGGATAAAACTCCAGACTCCTCTTCCAAGACTCAGGCACGAACCGCGCGATGGGCGACCCCGGCCGTTGAAGTAGCACCATGGCAAACTGACCAAAGAGATCAAACAGAATAGCCACCCAAATAAGTCCCTGTCGCTTCGGTTCCTCCACACTCACACTCGCCATCCAAAGCACCGCCGGTATCAAAGAGAGTAACGCATTCCCCAACATACTTCCCCTCACCATGGGAATACGCCATGCGTACCAAAACCAACAGCTTGTCACAAACAGTCTCGCCGCGAGATAGAAGCCCACAAGCGGCGCATAAGTCTGCTCCCACGCCTCAACCATATTCGTCGTAAACCCCAACAAACACGTGAGCAGAAAGAGCACAGATACCCGCCTGATAACATCATCGCTATCGAACCACGACACCAGCACCCCGATATCTGTCCAGAACTTCCAGCCCATGATGAAGGTAATTGCGAAGCGAAGTAGGGATTGAGCGGTGGGATGTTCAGCTGCAGAATCGCCTGTTATGGCAATAATGCCCACGTAGAAGAGGTCGATGAAGAGTTCGTAGCTAGCTACCTCCTGTGCTTCTTTTGCGCGCCACAGCAGGCCCTTATGGAAGTATTGTCGTACGATGGGCTTTTGGTAGAAGTGAATGGCTGTGCCGTGTTGACGATCAGAGTACCATGTTTCTTTGTCGAAGGAGGAGTCGGCGAGGGAGTCTGATGATGGGCTGTCTTCTTTGGTGCGTAAATGGGCCGAGTAACCGTATTTGGAGAAGTTGGCGTCGAGTTGTACGGCGTGGGAGGTTAGCATGTGAAGTTCGGTGGAGAGGGTGTCGAGGTCGCGGATTACGCGCTCGAATTCTTGGGCTAGGTCGCCGTGGTCCTGGTGCAGTTGACGGTGGTGCGCAGTGTGGTGGGCGTGGGTGTGGCGGAGTGCTTCGATCTGTGTGCGTTAGTAGGGCGAATATTCCATGCCATGGCTCTCTCATTCTTGTGTAGAACTAACATGTTCGGGAGATCCATGGATGACTAGGTCGAAGTCTTCTTTCTCGCTCGCATTGCTCAGCTTCCTCCTCATGTGATTTGCTTCATCGGGGGAACTCGCAATGTGCACCTTTCTTCCATCTGGTCTCAGAAAGTGTTTCAGCCTCTTGCCCGTGTGGTGACCAATGTGTGCATGATGGTGCTGGTGAGGGTCATGCTGTGCGCTTGTTGTCGTGCTTGTTGGATCGTCCATGTTAGCAGCCGGCATGTGCGGAATACCAGCCATCTTGCTCATCACAAAGTAGGAGAAGGCGCAAATAAC